GGAATCAGTGACCTTCAAAGATGTGGCTGTGGACTTCACCGAGGAAGAATGGCACCATGTGGACCCTGCTCAGAGGAGTTTATACAGGGATGTGATGCTGGAGAACTATAGCCACCTGGTTTCTCTTGGTAAGGACCACTCCCCCCAGTGCCTTACCTGTTGGTGGGCCTTTCCTTACTCACTTGCTAAGGTTGTGGTGCTCATAGCTTAGTTAACTATGAGCTGGGGGTTCAGGGATCAGAGCTTATTCATCTCTTTTAAATTCAGCTTTATGTGGTTTTAAGGTAAAAGAGTTTTATTTTGCAGGACTGAAAATAGACAATTTGATCGTAAGACTCCTTTAGTTACATATTTTTTTTTTCCCTTCAGAGTTCTGAGGATCAAGGACTAGTACTGACTTAGAGGAGGATTCTTTGTCCAGTTAAACAACCAAATCTTGTGTATTTACCCATGAACAGGATATCAAGTTTCCAAGCCAGAGGTGATCTTCAAATTGGAACAAGGAAAAGAGCCTTGGATATCAGAGGGAGAAATCCAAAGACCTTTCTGTGCAGGTAAATGGGTGACAACCAGGCATGTAGGAGTCAATGCCTGATACTGGCACAGCTTAGGGAGGGGAACTACCTGGAAGCAGCTGGCTTGAGAGCTCCTAGACCTGTATAGGAAGTCGAAGCCACCTCCTGGGCAGCACCTCTGGATATCTCTCTTCTCCAAAAGGTGCTCCCGCTGTCTGCAGGTCTTGGATGAAAAATTACTCTTTTTTCTTTCTAAAAGTAGCTTTGGGCTACGCCAGCAAGCAGAGTGGAGGTTAAGGTACTGTATTCCACATGGCCCTCTGCGGTTTGAGTTCCAGATGTGGCAGCTTGCTTTCTCACTCTCTCTTTCTCTCTCTCTGGTGACCATATGTGCCTTGTAACAAACCAAGAAATAGTAATAATAATAAATAAAATTAAATAATTATTTAAAAATAAAAAAAGTTGCCTTGGGCCAACTCTTCGGCCTTGTGGTTAAGGTAGCCAGATCCCATATAGCTAACCCTGTGTTTTGAGACCTAGACCCAGTGGTTTGAAAAACATGCTAGGTACATGTATGTGCATGTCTGAGGTCCCTAAAGGAGAAAGAAATGGAGGAAAAGGATTGTGGCATGACTGTCCCCCACTGGGGGCGGGGATGCGGCTTGCTTTCTTTCTTTTCCTCTCCCTCTGTTTCTTTTCTCTGGAGAGTGGGCATGCCCTCTAGCAAAATTTTTTTAAAGTAGCCTTTGGTCTCATACTCAGAATACTGTCTCTGCCTTTCCTTTCTTTCTTTTTTTCTTTTTCTTTCTTTCTTTTTTCTTTTTTTTGGAGAGGTTTATTGCTATAGGGCGTGTGCTCTCACCAGAAAGACAGAGAGAGACAGAGAGACAGAAAGCAAGAAATCACTCCCCCAGGGGGAACCAGCAGTTAGTGTAATGGCTATGTTGCTGGACTCCCACGTAGTTGACCGCAGTTCGTGTCCCAGACCCGGTGACTTAAAACTCAAGCCAGGTGTGTGTGCATGTGTGCCCAAGATCCTGAGAGGAGAATGGAGGAAAAGGGATTGCAGTGTTACCATCCCCCCTGGGGGGTGATTTCTTGCTTTC